GGACTCGTGTCCCCTCTTCCTGCCAGCACCCAGCCGTCCCTCACAATAGTGTGGTCTGTCTGTGGCCATTGGAATCATTCTGTGACGTGTTTTGGGGCTGAGCCACCTGTGGAGTTTCAGCCAGTGCTCTGGCATCTCCACATGTCGCTGGTCGAGGGCACGTGGGCCTTTTAGTAAATGGCCACAGAGCAGAGGTCTGGAGGTGGCAGTGGAAGTTCTGGGCCTCCCCAAGCTCTTTGGGAGGTGACCCCACTTAAGTCAGTCAGAGAAAAAAATCACTGTTAGGGCTGCACAGCTCATACCCAGGTGGATGGCCACTTGGAGAGGAGTGGCTGGCCAGTGAACCCCAGAACAGGACTCTGGCTGCTTCAGACAGAGCAGTGACCGTGCTCCAGGACCCAGGCCCACGTCAGAGTGCCAAGTGGGAAGAGCTGCACCCACAGGGAAGAGGGCAGACCCTCTCGATGTGAATGAAATGACAAAAATCCCAGCACCTCAGAGAAGGGGCTCCCCAAAGTGTGTTCCAGGGATCCAGAGGGCTCTGACCACAGACGAAGAATCTGGGGAGCGTGGATGATATAGGTAGCATCTGTTTCTTAGCTGGTCTGACAGTTTCACCGCCCAGACAGGGTTTGCCCGTCTCACAGCGGGAACCTTGCACAGTGGCGATGGAGCCTTTCAGGGAGCGCCTGCTCCACCTGCTCGCCCTGTCTCACCGCGGAGTGTGGAGGCAGCCCTGCCCCAGGCCCGTGTGGCTCACTGACGCGGTTGTTCCCTAGGTATGTGCAGGAGGTCATCCAGCGGGGGCGCTCTTGCGTCAGGCCGGTGTGCACGCCCGTGCTGAGCGTGGTGCCAGCAGTGTCCGACACGGAGCTCTCCGAGACAGAGTACGTGCGTCCCCCGTGGGTCCTCTCGTACTGCTTGCCCAGCCTGCCCTGTGGATCCGGGGTAGTGGAGCAGTGGCATCTGTTCCCAGGTCAGGTGCCTGGGCACCGCACTGGAAGAGCTGGGGCTGCAAGCTGTTCCCAGGCCTTTCCTTCCTGTGTCTGTCAAAGGGGACACACTGACTGTCCATGTGGTGACAGATGACTGGCAGGTTAGACAGGAGGTCCATTTCACTCTGCCTTCTGCGCTCTGGCCATATACCCTCCCCACCTGCCTTTACTGTCCTTGCGACTCCTAGCCAGGCCTTGGGATCTGAGAGTCACGGTCACTCCCCTGACACGCTGCTGACAGAGTGGCAGCACCTGTGGTGCCAGAAGCTGTGTGCGTGGCGAGCCGGGCTATGTTTTCGCTTGGGACACATGCACGCTCCCCAACCTCGTGTGGAGGAGGGTGGGCATCGGGGAGCTGCAGGCCACGTGCAGACAGTGCCTGGTCGGTTCCCCCCTGCCCCCCTCCGTGTTTCTGTGAAGACACGGGAGGGGGGCCTCTCACCTCTGCCCTCGCCAGGTTACCCCAGATAATGCCAGCCGGCTCAGAGCCTTCCCAGCAGGTGGGGCCTGGAGGGGCAGGAACCCTGCTTCCCTTCTGTAAGAAACGGGCCCACCCAGGACCATCCAGGTGGGCTCCCAGGACCAGCTGGGTTTGAGGTTTCAGGACTAAGGGAAGGAAAGCAGGTGTGAAGGATGGCTAATGTGGTGAGCGGCCGCACAGGTGAAGTGACTGCAGAGTGTGTCCAAGAACACCAGGAAGGGCAGAGCCCACTGTAAGCCCCGGCGGCCTTCCCGACCTGACGCTGGTGTGGGAAGCTGCCCACCACACCCCACTGGCAGGGGCCAAAGGCTGTGCCCGTGTGTGCTTGGGCAATTCCAGAGCAGTCACAAGGACCAGGGACGCTTATGAGGACAGGGAGTGCTCCCCGTCCCAGACACAGAATGGCTGCTCAGCACCCATCGAGGTGAAAGCCCAACCCAGGGTGCTGGCCTCACCCGTCTCTGGAGTCTGGCCGGATGCTGCTGCTGGTCTTTGGACGAGCTCTCTGCGGGGGGCAGGTCCGTGTAACTCACCATAATTCTGTTTCTCCAATACCTGGCCTTCCATGTCTGTGCAGGTGATGGGCAGCAGGCTTTAGCGGGGTGCAGGCGGTGCAGTGTGGCCCAGAGGCGGGGGCTGTATTGGTTGTGCTGGCCCAGCCACCTTAAGAAGACGGTGGAAGGACCCACTGTGGGTTCAAGACCTGAGAGGCCTTTCATGTGGCTAGGGTTGGGGGTGCTGCCCATCAGCCAGTTCAGGCCACAGTGAGACTTAGGACTTTCCAGGGTGTGGAGGAGGGTGGCAAGTGAACCGAGGCGCTGTGGCGTGAACGGGGTGGGAGATGAGCTGGCATCCATGCTGTGTGTCTTTGTGTATGGGTTTGGTGCAGGGCTGGAACCCTGGATTGAGATACCATGCGGGGCAAGGGCCCCAGGGGACTGGGTGCAGCTCTGTGGTGGGATGGACACTGGGGCCTGCTGATGCGTAGCATTTCTCAGTGTGTTCCAGCTCACCCCTCAGGCCTCATCCCATTGTTTCCTGGGAAGTCCGAGGCCTCGGGGCTATCGGGAGGTGCCCTGCGGCATTCTGAACCCAGCAATAACCACAGTATCTCTGCCTCCAGGACGAAGTCGCAGAGGAAGGCAGGTGGCGGGAACTCCCAGCTGTGCGACAGCATCGTTGTGGCCTATTACTTCTGCGGGGAACCTATCCCCTACCGGACCCTGGTGAGGGGCCGTGCGGTTACCCTAGGCCAGTTCAAGGAACTGCTGACCAAGAAGGGCAACTATCGGTGAGAATGAAGGGCTGGGGTCTGTGGTGAGAGGCATCCTCCCAGGTAGTGCTGGGGGCCCTGTTCGTGTCCCGTCGAGTCCTTGCTCCTCCCTCACCACCACCCTTAGCCTGCTTACCCCAGCCTTAGGTGATTGAGGCCTCCAGGCCAGCTGAGGGGTCTGGACAGTCCCTACCTTAAAGGTGGGGAAATAGGGCCAAACGCAGTGGTTTGTCTGTCCCCATGCCGGTCTGACCTGCGTTGGCCTTGTCTCCAGCCTTCTGATTCAACCCATTCGTATTAGACACAGCAGCCAGGGTTCTCCTCTTAGGGTCTGCCATGGGCTGCGTGGCCCTGCCAGCCTGAGATCAGCCCGAGGTGAGAGCAGCCCCTGGAGGCTGGGTAAGCACCGCAGGAGGAGGAGGGTTCACAAGGGGTCTTAGCTGGGGTCAGCCCACCATGGTCTCCAATGAGCGGTGTCTCTGTCCACTGAGTGGTAAGAAAGGCCCTTTGGAAATGGAGGGCGTGGCCTCTAGAGAAGGACCTGGCTCCACAGGGCTCTGTGTGGGCCTTCGGGAGGCAAAGCACCCTGTCGGAGAGGACGTGCTCAGCCCATAGGAGGCAGAAGCCCGGGACCCGCCCTCTTCTCCCCGCAGCCCTCTAGGGGTCAGGGCGGAGGGCGCCGTGTGTGGTTATCGCTCACTGTCCATGCTCTGGCACCGGCCACCAGCCAGAACCAGCTCACGTGCCCTGCACGATGCGTCTGGAGTGTGGCCGCCAAGTACTGTGCCTGTGGGACCTTGGGGTCACTCGGCTAGGAGGTTGGGAGGCCCCAGGGTATGGGGGCCTGGGCAGGAGAGGAGTGGACAGGCCCTCATCTCCTCCCACCCCATCCCCCAGATACTACTTCAAGAAAGTGAGTGACGAGTTTGACTGTGGAGTGGTGTTCGAGGAGGTTCGGGAGGACGAGGCCATCCTGCCTGTCTTTGAGGAGAAGATCATCGGCAAGGTTGAGAAGGTGGACTGACCGGCAGTCCCGGCCTCTGCACCAGGCTGCACTCTCATCAGGTGGGGACAGGCAGGGCCAGGCAGAGCCACGAAGGGCTGTGCTACGTCAGGTGCTCTCACGTGTGCGCGGGCACAGCACTCCTCGTGTAAGGCCAGGGACTGCCTGCCCCCTGCCGCCCACCGCTTTGGGCCATCTGTGTCCAGGTGAGCGGGAGTCCCGCTGAGGGGTCCCACAGGCGCCTGGCTGGCTGTCAATGAGGGGGCCCCGTCCACCCCTCCACAGCACTACTTTGAGCCCAAGCAAGCAGAGAGCCCGCCACCGGGCCGCCTTGATGACCTTCCCCAGTGGGCCCCTGCCGCTAACCACAGGCCGCTCACACCAGAGGCTCTGCCTCTCCCTTCAGGACTCGCCCGCCGTGCCCTGCCCTTGTAGGACCTCATGCAGGCCCAGGGCTCAGGGGGCCTCGGGGCCTCTAAACTGTACATGTCACGGAGTGCCTTCAACACAGCTCGTCTCTTGCTGCCACTGTGTGGATCCGGCAGTGGGGCACCTCATTGCTCCCTCTCCACCCTCAGTCTCCACAGCGCTGGCTCAGTGGGCCCTGGGCCCTCCTTTCTGAGGGTCCATGTAAATATGTACATTTTTCAGGCTAGGGCCAGCAGGGGGCCGCCCCAGCCCGTTTTTCATGCTCTGACTTGTACAATTATCTTTTCAAAGGTACTTGGATAATAATGAAATAAAATCAGTTTAGAACCTGCCCTGGCTGTGGAGTGTACAGATCTGTCAGTGGGAGCCGGTACGGGGAGCACCACCCTTGGCCAGCTTCTGGCACAGGTAGCCTGTCCCCACTCTCCTGGCCTGCTCTGTACAGTGCACGTCAGGCCTCAGCAGCAAGGTTACACTGGCGTCCAGAGGTCTCGGGACTGGGGTGTCTTGTGGGGCCGCGATGGCAGAAACATCATATCCAACATTCCTGCCCAGGTGGTGACCCAGACTCATACTTGAGCGGGGGTCCGCTGAGGAGGGCTTGGGAGTAGGGTCTAAGCCCCATCTAACGTGGAACCCCAGGAGGCTGAGATTCGGCCAAAGCTAGGGGCTGGGGGCCAGCCACGCTCAGGAACCACGCACAGTGCAGGACTAAAACTCTTTATTCAGCGCCCGCAGCTTCCCAGGCACCTGGGGAGGTGGCTCCCTAGCACCGATGGGGTGGCTACAGCTCCTCCCTGGGTTCCGAGGTGGAATTGGCTACCGTCTCCTGGAAAGGGTCACAGAGGTGCAGCTTCCAGCCCAGCTCTGCCTCGTCAGTCCCGTGACCCCCCATCCAGAGACGTGTCCAGAAGCCCGGAACCCTGGGATAGAGGCACCTACCAGGAAGGGGGCTAAGGGCTCCTCAGCGGGCTCCTCTTCAGGTAGCGTGCCCCCACTATCCAGGAACTTGGACAGGGTCTCCAGGTCCCGGGGGCCTCTGTAGTCAATCACCTGAGGAGGCACAGGAGAGACTGGAGGATACGCCAAGTCCTCCCAGGCCCTGCCCTGGCCAGGCCACACCCACCCCACACTCCACTGTCTTAAGGTCCCACCCTAACCGAGACCCTGTCCGACCCCAGGCCAGGGCCACAGCCTGTACTGGCTGAGCCTTGTCCTCTGAGATGCAGCCCATCCCAGCGCCCACCTACTAAGGCCACACTGTAATGTCGTGCTCATCTCCATCTGAGGACTCGCACCAAGGAGGGCGGGGTCCTGCCTCACCTTCTGACCCTGCCCTGCTGGGAAGTACTTGAGGGTGGGGAAGCCATGCACAGGGAAGGCTTCCAGCTCATTGGCTGTGGCATCTAGCTTGGCAATGATGATGTCCTTGTGGTCCCTGTACTTCTCAGCCAGTGCCTCCCAGGTCGGTGCCATCTCCTTGCAGTGGGTACACCATGGGGCATCTAGGACAAGGGGGTGTTGGCACGGCCAGCTGGACCCCATACTGCCCACTACCCACCATCCACTGCCCTCCACACTCACAGAACTTGATAAACACATTCTTGGTTTCATCAAAAGCCACCTGCTCAAAATTCTTGCCCACGAGGGTCTTGACTGGATGCTGGTCCCAGTCGGGGGGGACCTCCTGGCTCAGAAGATAGGGCTGGGGGGAACCAGGCCAGATGCTTCATTAGGGGTCTCTCCTGAGAGCTGCTGTTCCCACACCCTGGGCAGGCCACCCAGCACGGACCTTGAGCTTGCCTCCGAGGACTGAGTGGCAGAAGGCGGCTACTGAGGTGGCAGTGATTAGTTCCTGGTCTGCAGGCATGTACTTCTTAGTGGTCTCCATGTTGATGAAGCGTAGGGTAGGGGCCTCCTCCGCTCTGAGCCCAAAGTACTGTAGCACATGGCTGTTGTCGGCACCCACGTCCACCACCACGAACAGCACCTGCCAGCAGGGAGTTGGCACTGGGCACTGGCCTCCCTACCACCCGCCCCCCACCCAGACGGTACCTGCCCCCGGAACGGAGGTGCCGCCTCCCTGAAGCCCGCCAGCAGTTCCTGGTGCAGGGCCAGCGTCTGGTTGATGAACAGCAGCAAGTGGTTGAGGATCCTGGCCGCAAAGATCTTGGGGGACGTCTGTGGAGGCAGGCCGGACTCGGGGCTGGCTCCCACGGCCCCCCTCCCACTGCCCCGATGCTTGCTCCTGTGCATGCCTCTGCAGCCCACTCACCTGGAGGTTGTACTCAGTGACCAGGTGCATGCTGTGCGTGAGGAGGAAGCGGGACAGGTCATCCTGGTCCAGGCCCACCTCGTCTACTGGGAAGTCTGCCCGCCCCTCGTCAAACTGGACAACACCAGACGGGTCAGCAGGAGCCATAGCCCCGACCCTAACCACCACCCTGGCACTGACCCTGACCCACCTTCTTAAAAAGGACCACAGTGTTGTTGGTGAGGCCAAACTTCTGAAAGAGCTGTGGCTGGTCGGTGAGGCCAAAGGTCATGTCCAGAGCATCCTGGGCCAGAGCCAGGAAGGTAGCCACATCCTCGTTCTGCAGGTCCTAATGGGCCCATGTCTGTGAGGCCAGCTGGGGCCGCAGGCCCTGCTCCGAAGGCCTGGACCCCAGTGCCACTAGCTCACCTGGAAGAAGCCAATGACCACCACATCCTGGGCATCTATCAACGCCTGGGCACCCTCCTCATCTTCCAGACGTGTAGTGCTGGGACCCACCCGCCGCCTCAGCCACTCGGCGATGCCCTCAGCCTCCTGGGGGCCTGTGGAGAGCCCCATCAGCCTGGGCCCAGCTCCTGCCCACCCCACCTCACATATGCTTAACCCCTGTACCAGTATATTCCTCCGGGTGTGTGCGGTTCCCGTCACGGAAGAACTTGAGTGTGGGGTACTCTGTCACAGCAAACTCCTCGGTCAGCTCTGGCTCAGAAGGCCCATCCACCTTGGCCAGCCTGGCTGTGGCTGACTCTGCTGCCAGCAGGGCAGCTGCCTTGATGTACTCTGGGGCCAGTGCCTTGCAGTGCACACACCACGGGGCATCTGGGAGACAGGACCATGAGTGCCCCCGGCCTCCACAGTGCCAGCCGCAGCCCCGCTCCTGCCCAGCCAGAGCTGGCAGACACAGGGTCAGTCAGGTCCGGCACGGAACATGTGGTGTCTGTACCCCACTCCTGGAGGGGCCCCAGGCCCGTCCAGCCCCAGCCGCGTCATGGCCACCCACCAGAGACCGGACTATGCAAGGCCCCCAGAACAGGGAACAGTGGCCAGCACCTCCCAGACAGTGCACTTGAGAATGATCTTCCCATTGCTGCTCCCTGCAGCGGCGCTCCCTGCCATATGCTGCTGCCTGTCGGTGCCTGCCAGCTCAATGGCTTTCATATGTGTAAAAGGTTGTATGTGAAAAGCCACAGAAGAATATGCAAGGCGTGAGTTTTTATCTGGCCCTTCACAAAGAGTCTGCAGAAGGACAATGACCACGTGTTTCCCCTCCACCTGCGCCTCCCCTCCCACCTGCTCAAGCTGGATCCCCAGCCCCAGCCCAGCCCCAGAGCTCTGCCTCAGGTGCCCTCTGATGGAGTAGTGACCACCAGGGGAGCGCCTTCAAGTGCATCAGCCACCACCAAGCCCCCACAGTGGGGGGCTAAGCACACTGGGTGACACCTGTGGGTCCCCGGCCCTGCTGACCCTGTGCACTCACAGAACTCCACCAGCAGTGCAGGGTGGTCCCGAAGGGCCAGGCCCAGGGTGCGGCTGCTCAGCACCAAGATCCCATCCTCCTCGGGAACCTCCTCCTTCCGGGGCTCTCCCGAGGGGCCCCCAGGCCCTGGGCTCTGCCCCCACAGGCCTGAGGCCCTGAGCAGCAGCAGTAACGACACAGGCAGGAGCAGGCCGTCCATGGCAGTGCGGAGGCCCAGGGGGTGGGGGCAGATAAGGGGGCCGGGGGCCAAGCAGCAGCTGCCACGTGGCGCTCGGTCCTGGTTGCAGGAAAGATAAGGCAACAAGGCTCCCCCCACCCCTGAGGGGAGGGGGGTAGACAGAGGCGACACCGTGGGCACCGAGACAGGCGTTTAATGGGGCTATTCAGGGCACAGTGCCAAGCCCAGGAAGGGGGTGTCCTGAGGCAGGGCAGAGGTCATGAGGGGTCTGGTCACTGACAGAGGGGCTGGGGAATGCTCGGGGCCCGTGCGCAGTGACTGCCAGGCAGAGGGAACCAGGATCCCAGGCAGGAAGACGGCCCCCAGGGCAGGGCAGGGAGGGTGGGCGCTCAGCTCTTCCAGTCTTGACAGATGTGGAGGCCCCACTCCCAGGAAAGGTGGTCTTCCCTGTCGTCGTCAGTGAAGAAGGATGTGACCACATAGGCGCCCCTCACCAGCGCACCCCGCGGCACCTCCTCCACTGGAGTTACAAACTCGTACTCCTGGGTGCTTGGGCCATAACTGCCCACCATGTACACGGCCTTGTCCACTGGGGGAGGGGGAGGGCATCAGGGGCCGCCCTCTGTGCCACTGGCCCCCAGCCCCCAGGCCTCCCCTTCACGGGCCCTCACCTCGCAGGCCCCTGCGGTAGGTGTGATGCAGACACTTGAGGCCACTGACAATCTCCTTATTGACCTGAGGGACAGAGAATGTTAAAGGGTCCGTCTTGGAGGCTGAGCCTGTGGCTGGCTAGCACTGCCCACGATAGCTGCTCTCACCTTAAAAGTAATCTTCACTTTGTAATCAACACCCTCCTTCAGGACGAACACCTGGTTTTTCAGTGCAGCCAGCTCCCCTGAGGGAAAAGCACAGCTGAGGGACAAATGCCTGCAGCGGCTGAGACCCTGCCCAGGAAGCCCCATAGTGGGGCAGTTCCCGTGAAGTTTACGTGATGGGCCTGAGTTCTGGGGTTTGGCATGGGGTTCGAGGAGGTCTCTAGCATGTGGTTTGCAGAAGATCAGCATGTAGTTTGCAGAAGGGTGTTACCTGTGAGGTCCATGGTCATGGGCCCTGGAGCCTGCTCAGACATCAGCGTCAGCCTGGTCACCTGCACATTGGGCAGGCTCGGGTCTGAGGAGAAATCGGAGGTCTCCAGGATGCACCCCCCAATTTTCACCCACAGCCCCCACATCCAGGGCCCGTTCATACCCACAGCTAGCGGCAGGGACCCCAGAAGCACCCGCTTGTACTTGGCCAGGCTCTCATCGTCTGGGTCCAGCTGCTGGATCTCCAGGAGGCTCTTCCGCGCCGGGGCCTGGTACCCTGGCACAGCCTCGTCCAGCACCTCATCTGGTGGCCGCTGCCCCCCTTCTTTGTCTGTTAGAAGGACTGGGGTTTGGGAGGTGGGTGAGCAAATGCCACCAGCTACCCTGGGCATTCACTTGTGAAATTGGAGCCCCTGCTTCTGGTCGGCTGTACCTCCCCCTGCCTGTAGGGGCTGGGAGGGAGGAGGTGTGGGGCTGGGGAAGGAGGTGTGAGCTCAGAGAGGTAGGAGTGAGTGGGGCCTCAGAGAGGGGGGCGGGCTGCAAGACACTCAGTAGTATCCACACCCTTCAGGAGGGGCCCTGGAGGTCCCCAGGGGCTTCACAAGAGCCAAGTGACATTTCGGTAGGTACCAGCTGCCTTCTTCTGGCCCAGCCATTTATCCAGGATCCCTCCCTGACTCTGAGGCCAAAGGTTGGGGGAATGAAAACCCCCAGATGGGGAACATCCCCAAGGACCACCATCACTGGGTGGTGAACTCCCAAGTCTTTCCTGAAGCAGAGGCCCCGTTAGCAGAGGGACCCCCAGTGCTCTGAGGCCTCTCTCCATAAGCCCACAATGCTCTCGGAAGCCTCTGACCCCTATCATCCTGCTCAGTCAGGGGCTGGGGTCTCTGATCGATGGCCTTCCCACAGTTCTGGGAGTTTCTTCCACAGCGTCCCTGGGGGGTGGGGTTAGCTTTCCACAGCCGAAGCTCGGGGCCGCCCCCCAGAGTCTCCTAGATCCCCTCCCTAAGCTGGGCTGGGATAGGGGCTCTAACCCCTTTCCACTGTGCCTTGGGACAGCGTTTGTCTGACTCCTTGCCCACTGCGCTCCAGTCTTCTTAGGAATCGCCACACACCCTGAAGGAGCCCCAGCCCCACCCAAAGGAGTAGGATGTCTGGAGCAGACCCGCCCACTCTTGGCTCCTATCCCCAGGAGTGTTTAGCCTGTAGGAAGCACCCCAACCTCGCCAGAGCCCAGCCGGGAGGACTAGACCACAAGGTCCCCGCGGCGCCCCCAAAGTTTCCACGGGGGAGGGCGGGTCCCTACCTCGGGCTAAAACCACCCCTCGCCAGAAACCCCCGCCCACGTGGCCGCCCTGGACCCACACGAGCCGGCTCACCTCGGGCGCATAGCGCCAGCCGGAGCAGTTCCAACAGCTGCGCCCCCAGCTCGCACGCGACCAGGCCCAGCATGGTGGCCTGCGGTCCGGCTCCGCCGCGGAGCCGCCTAGGAGCCGCCGCCCGGCTTGGCGCTCAGCCCCGGCGCGACTGCGGTGAGCTCATCCCGGCCGGGAGCGCCCCCCGCGCCCAGCGCCGCGCCCGCGCCGCGCGCCCCCAGCCGCTCCGCGGACCCCGCGCAGCCCCGCAGAGACGCGCGTGTCGCCCGTACCGCCGCGGCACCCAGTCCTCCCCGCCTCCGGCCCAACCGGACCATGCTCAGCAGCCGCCGACATGGCCACGGTCACGGTCCCAATGGCCCGGCCCGACTGCAACCTGCTCTGGCATGCTCTGGCAATCAGGGCTGCCTTGCCCTCGGTGCGCCCGGGGGAGTCTGGGGCCTCTCTAGCGAAGCCTTCTGGGCGGGGCCGGTGGGACTGAAAGTGCCCAGTGAAGCAGGTGCTACCCCCGCCCCATGTCCCCCAGCTCTCCTTACCGGCAGGCAGTGCAGGCCGCACCTGGGGCCCAACAGCACCGCCCCCCCCCCCACCTTTCTTCCAGCGGAGCTTCTGTTTGGGCAGAGGGGATTCCTAGAACGGTCTGGCCTTGGGGGCACAACCTCCTGGCCCTGCATCCCAGAGGTTACAGCCATTAGCACAGAGAGACCAGAGTTCACCTGCATAGGGCGGGGGTCACCACCCACTCAGCCCTTACTCAGTGTTCCCGACTGGGCTGTGTGAGTGTGGTGGGGTGGGGGTCCCTGTTGCTCTGGGGACCCAGAAGATTCTGAAAGCCTCTCCCTGTTCTCTGGGAGAAGAGGAAACTGGTTTAAAATAACACCGGGAGTTGGAATGTTGAGAAGGGGGACACAGAGGGGCTTCTGATCTTAACACCTGAACAAACCCTGGAGCAGGCAGATGGGAGTCAGCCAAGGCAGGGAGCAAGGGTGAGCTGGACCTCAGGCTGGGACAAAGGGTCAAAGGCTTGGGTCTGAGTGGAGGAGGTGGGACAGCAGCACGCAGTGCCATATGGTCCTGGTGGCATCTGAATGCTGTCACGTGTGGTGTGACACAATCGCAGGCACACACTTCTAGGGCAGTCAGACCCCTTGCCCTGACCAGCCGCAGGGGGTCAGGCCCTCCGCCCCAGTCCCCGAACATCCTGAGGGCCTCACACCTGGGGTGAGCATGGGGGGCAGGGGTTGCAGTAGACCCTCTGTCCCCCACCCCAGCCCACCTTCCCCAAAAGTCCCTTCTCCTGGGGCCCCTCCCCTCACAGAGCCTCCTCCCCTTCCCGGATTTCCCACCCCTTCCCTAGTCCTCCGCTCCTCTCAGCTCCCCTCCCTCTTCCTGAGCCCCGGTTCCCTCACCAGACCTCTCTTTAAGCCCTTATCTCCCAGCCCCGCCTCAGGGCACCTCCACAGGCACGCAGCCCCCCAGCACGTCCTCGCTGGCACGGGCCTCAGTTTCTTTCAATGTGAGGGAAGAATCGTGAGGGTGGCCAGTCTGGTGCCGGCCTCTTAGACCTGGAATGGGACCTGGGGCCCAGGCCCGGGAGGGTTAATTCGGGCATGAGGCGGGGCAGGGCGTCGAAGACGCCAGCACCCACACTGGCTTCACCCCGTAGCCATGGCCGCTGGACCTGCACACCCGGGTGGGCGCTCCTGTGCGCAGATGCCTCACCTGAGCAAGGTGGGTGCCACGTGGGGGTCCTGCTGTCCCCAGGATTTCCAGGCATTGAGACCGGGAGGGGCAGAAAAGGAGTGGGTGCGGTGAGCTTGGGTGTGCACACCACTCTGGGGGCGTTGGCATTTCGCGGAGCCGGGTGAAGCGGAGGAGACCCTGGTGCTGTGGGGGAAGGGTCGGCCTTGCCTCTGCCCCACTCCCCCCACCAACCCGTTACCAGCATGGCCTGAAATCCCACCATCTGTGCACGCTAATCTCCGCGCACATTGATCCGGGAAACCCGGCCAGGTCCGTGGAATCAGGATGTGGGATGGGGGAGGCTGGCGGGGCAGCCCCTCAACGCCTCCTTTGCCCAGATGGAGCAGATGGTGTTGAGTATGCAGGACCCCGACCAGGGCGTGAAGATGCGGAGCCAGCGACTGCTCATCACAGTCGTTCCTCACACTGTGACTGGTGAGGCTGGGGGTTGGGGGTTGGGGGCTGGGGGGTTGCCGGCCCTGCCTTGGCCTCCCCTACCCCATCTCTGCTATGTAGGCAACGAGGTCGTGGAGTGGCTGATCCAGAAGTACTGCATCTCAGAGGAGGGTAAGGGGGCGAGTTTGCTGCCCATCCTGGCCCCTGCCCAACCTGAGGTCCCAGGGCGGATGAGGTTGGGCCTTCTGGGGCTCACCAGTATCAGGGCCAAGCCATGTGTGTTGAGGAAAAGGAACTCATCCCAAGAGACCCTGCTCCATTCCCTCCCTCTGAGAATTCAGCACCTTGATTCCTCTCCCCTCAACCCCACACCCCAGAGGCCCTGCACCTGGGCCTCCTGCTGCTGCGGCACGGCTACCTGTATCCGCTCCGCACGCCCTGCAGCCCCGAGCTGCAGCTGGACGGGACGCTCTACAGGTTCCAGGTCAGGCTGGACTGGGGGTGGGTGGGAATCCCCCAGCCGAACTAGCGGGGATTTCTGGGAGGGGCAGAGCTGGGGTGGGGGCACAATGTGGTGACATTACAGCAGGCTTGGTGGCCTACTGTCCCCTCCCCAGCAGGTCTGGGCTGGAATCTTCCTTTGATGGAAGGATAGAGTTAAGGGAGGGAATTTCAGTTTCTCTGGGGTCTCAACAGGGCGTCCGTAAGGGGCAGTCCCTATGGAGGGCTCTGCTAGCCTTCCTAGGCCCTTAGGCCCCCTCCAAGAAGGAAGCTGTGTGAGGCCTGAGGACGGCATCCCCTCATTGCGTGTGTGGCCTCAGTCACGGTGGGGCCCCCACCTGCCCTTCCCAGCCACAGCGGGAACCCAGGGCCGGCCTGCCTCCCAACACAGACTGTGACCGCATCTGCCATTGGGAAGGCCCCGCCCCACCCCTCCCTGGAGAGGGGGCTCCTGGAGCTCAGAGGCGGGAAGGCAGCCCCGCACTGGGCCCCAAGGGGTGAGTGGAGCTCAGTTCCAGGTGGGGAGAAGTGCCCAGTGGCCGGCTGAGCCTCCGGGCCGTGGGCGGACAGGCAGATCCTCAGGTAGATCCTGCCGCCGGCCAGCCGGGTCTCTTCCTAAGGGAGCTGAGAGGATAGGGGCAACTCCTGGAGAAGGCCCAGGAGGTCCCAGACACCCCTTGTTCCCACGTGGTACCAGACACCCTATTTCTGGACAAGCACGCTGTGGCTGGCTACTGAGCTGGACTATGGTGAGTAAGCAGGGACAGGCTGGCCTGGGACAAGTTCCCAAGACTGGTGGCCTCTGGGTGATGTCACAGGGGTGAAGGGGGCAGAGATTGCTCCTCTGCAGCCCGTCCCCCTGTCCTACCAGCCATCTACCTGGCCAAGAAGAATATCCAAAAGCAGGGGGCCCTGGCCGACCATGAGAAGGTGAGACCCTCCCCCAGGCTGAGCCCAGCCAGAGGAGCCCAAGCCCCACTCGTGTCCCCAGGGCCTCACGGTTTGCCTTGGAGCTCACAGCCCAGGCCCCAGGGTGGTGCGGACGCACAGTCACACCACACCCTGTGGCGCCCCAGTGGGGAGGTGGGAGGGCCTGTGCGGGCCCTAGAGCTTGGCATGGAAAGGGTTTACCCACTGGAGACCTTGACACCACCCCCAGGAGCACTATGACCAGCTGCACAGGAAAATCAGCTACACGTGGGACCTGGTAGTGATGCAGGCAAGAGAACAGCTGCGGTGAGCCCCCAGCCCAGCGAGCACAGAGCCCACGCTGCCCGGCAGTCCGAAGGCCCTGGGCGGGGCACTGGTGGTCACGGCACGGGAGGGAACAGCACAGCCCGGGCCTGGCCGCCTGGCCTGGCCCCCGCCTGAGGCGGGTGGGGAGGCACTGTGGTGGGCGCCCTGTCCCCTCAACTCTGCCTGTCCCCGCCAGGGCAGCCAAGCAGCGCAGGAAAGGGGACAGGCTGGTCATTGCGTGCCAGGAGCAGACGTACTGGCTGGTGAACAGGCCCCCGGTAAGCCCCTTGTGTGGGGTGGGAGTGGCTCCTTGGCTGCCAGCAGGTCCCACCAGGAGCCAGTATGTGCTTTTCAGATGCTCTACCATGGTCGGCAGGAAGGACACACCCGCAGGGACAGGAGGTCCTAGTTCTGTGGCTCTTCAGAACCCAGAGATCATGAAACCAAGTCTAGCTAAGGCTGCCCCGCACTCACAGACCACAGAACGGAAAGTTTCCTTCTGGGTCCAAGAGGAGGCCTGGGGAAGCTGAGTGGGGGGACCGAAAGGCCCTTGGGATTAGGCTGTTGAAAGCGAAGCTTAGCTGCAGCTTCTGGGGGTCCGGGCCAGGGGTCAGGCCTGGTCCGGAACTGTAATCCTAGCCGCTGGTGTAAGGCCCCCTTCCTGTGTGGGGCAGTGGGGAGACATCTGAGCCTGCAGCAGCCCCAGCAAACCATGAATGGAAGCCCCCGTGGGAAAGAACCCAAGGAAAAGGATTCCAGGAGGCACCCCACCCCCCCATTACTTCAGCAAGTATGTGCGTGGGGGCGGTTATCTTTGGGAAAATGATTCGGTCTTCCTCCAGAGGGCCTAGCAATCTAGGGTCTAGGGACCCTAGAGAAAGTGGAGTGGGCCACGCCCAAGGCTACGTGCTTGGGCCGAGGGCGAGGCCCAGGAGCAAACCAGACCAGCCTTGTGGGCTGAGGGCTGTGTGTGCCGGGGAGCAGGAAGGGCAGGCATCTGGGGCCTCCTGGCAAGTAGATGAGAGGGTTCCAACCGGGCAGGGGCAGGGAGAGGGCCAGACCAGCAGGTGTGTGTGAGGACCGCATGGCGGGACAGGTAGGTTCGGGTGAGTGGGACTGTCTCAGGAAGGACGGTTAGGTGGTTAGGTTTCCGGCTTGAACTGCCAGGTATGTGGAGGTGAGCTTGGCTGAAAAGAGGAAGAATGGGGAGGTGTGGAGAGGAGGGTCAGGATTCCGCTTTAGCAGCAAAGCCAGGCAGGGAGACATGTGGCCTTGGAGCTCAGGGGAGCCATGTGAAGGGTGAGGTGCTGGAAGGGAAACCCAGAGTGGCTTTGGGGCTCCGGGAGGGCGGTCGCCATGGGGTGGGAATGGGCAGAGAGGGGACTCAGGGGCTCAGGGCTCAGGACTTAGGTTCCTGGGTTCCTCTGCACGTCAGTTTCCGTGTTACCGGACGGCACGTGGGCTCAGAGCTTCAGTGTATGATGGCCAGTGGGGGGCAGAAACAGAGCCCTAGGGTGGAGAGTCAGGAGCCCACCTGAGCTGTGCCCTCACTTCACCCAGTCTCCCCTCTGCAGCCTGGGGTCCCCAGCGTGCTGGAGCAGGGTCCGGAGCAGGGGCCCTTCACTGTCGGGCGAGTGCAGATGGTAAGGACCCCGCACACGCACACACACGCCCCACCTCCTGCCCACTGCCCACACCTCCACGCGTGCCCCCTGCCACTCCCACCCACAACAAGCCCGTGCGCACACAGCCCCGCCGCCTCTCTGCCACGATGGGTCTATTTGGGAGCTGCCCGCCCATCTGTGCATCCATCTGTCCATCCAAACGGCACTTGACAAGCCCCTCCGAGTGCTCTGCTCCCTTTCCGGTCTCATTCTCCCCTCAGCCCAGTCCCCAGTTCTCAGCGCCCCCGCTAACTCTCGTCCTCTCGCCTCCCACCTGCTGTTCTGGGTGAAAGTAAGTGCCATGGACCCTGGGAGGGTGGGGGGCTCTTCCCCCTGGCCAGACCAGCCACCTCTCTCCAAGACCCCTGGTGGCCTCGGGAACCGGAAGGAACTGCACCAGGACAGACATGGCCAAACTTGGTAGCAGCAGAGCCCCGTGTTCGAATCCCATGAAAACCAAAACATAGAACAGAACAGATACATTTAGTACCTTACCGAAAAAATTTCTTCCTAACTTCACAATCATAAGCTCATGATCACAGATTTATAATTTCCCATTATGAAGTGGGTCCAGGAGAGCCGAGACAAAAAATTGGAAATCACAGGCCCCTGAGGGTGCCCGCCGCCTCCCCTGGCCGCAGGGGCAGGAGCTGCGGAGTCTGGGAGGGACAGCCGGTCCCAGGGACCCGGTGCACGAGGAGGTGGCAGGCAGGCTCCGGATTCTGAACGTGACGAGAGTGGGGCGCAGGCAGCAGTCGGGGTTCCTGGTGTGGCCACAGCAGCGCTCCTCAGTCCCGCACTGTCTTTAAAAAGTGATTTAATACGTTTGAAAATATGGCACTGGGAAACCTCACGGCCACTTTGAGAACATGCTGGGAACCTCCAAACTATAGACCCCAAAAGCTTCCTGGGGAGTCAGGCCCTGCCATGGGAGGAGACGCTCTGAGGGACGCGGCGGGGCCGGGCCCCTCTCGGCCAGCCCGGGGCGGGATGTCCGTCCCTAGAGCAGGCCTGCCTTCTAAGGGCAGCTTTCCTGGCCTCTTGCAGACCGAGAACGTGGATTTCTATAAGTGGGAGGTAGGTCCTGGGGACCAACGCAGGGGAGTGGGCGGGCCGACTCCAGCCCAGACCCTGCCTCACATGTCCCATGTCACAGATCGAGTACTGCAGAAAGGCGCTGGGCAGGACCCGGGTGAAGTCCTCCATCTGCCTTGAGGCGTGAGTGGGAGGGGGTGGCAGTGGGAGACCCCAAGCCCAGTGCCCAGACCCTTCCTCTAGTGCCCTCAACCCCCAGCCCCTCCCTGCACTTGCCCCTGGCCCCACCCCCACCCAGGTACCTGAAGTTCAGCAGCCAGCGCGGGGCACATGACCCCATCATGTCAGGGTGCCTGCCCAGCAACCCCTGGGTCACAGACGATGACACCTACTGGGCCATGAACACATCCAGGTGAGTCCAGGGTGCGAGAAGGCTCTGCAGAGCTTCTCCCCAACTGCCCCCCACCCCACATGCCTCACGCTCCTGACACCTCCTCTCCAGTGTGGCCGTACCCACAAAGCTCCGTGTAGAGCGATGGGGCTTCAGCTTCCGGGAACTCCTGGAAGACCCCGTGGGACGGGCCCATTTCATGGACTTTCTCAGGAAAGAGTTCAGTGGTGAGACACCCCACCTGTCTGAGGCCCCAGTGAGGGGGGCTGGGGCTCCCCGCACCCCGTTTCTACCGGCCCTGGCTGCAGCTTGGGGTGGGCCTGACCCCCCGGTGCTTGGACCCCCAGCTGAGAACCTCAGCTTCTGGGAAGCATGTGAGGAGCTGCGCCACGGAGGGCAGGCCCAGGTCCCTGCCCTGGCGGACTCCGTGTACCAGTGAGTTTCAGGGGCGGGCCTGGCTGGCTGGAGGGCAGGCCTGTGGAGCCCGGACCCCCAACCCCAGGGCTGACCCCCTGTCCCCACACAAAGGCAGTTCCTGGCCCCTGGTGCTGCCCGCTGGGTCAACATCGACAGCCAGACGATGGAGCTGACCCTGGAGGGCCTGTGCCGGCCCCACCGCTACGTGCTGGACGATGCCCAGATGCACATCTACATGCTGATGAAGAAGGTGGGGGCGCCTCCACCCGTGACCCTAAAGCCACTTGCGGACTTCCGTGTGCAGGTGTTTCAGGACGTTCCTCCACAGGACACGGGCCACTTCCTCCCTTCCAGCGCGGCTGCAGGTGCCAGCAGCACACCCAAAACAGCTGTAACTCCTTGTCCTCAAATAGCCAGTCACGGGCCGTGCCTGCCCACGTGGGCTCTTGGGTCAGTTTTCTGTTGCTGCTGTAGAACATGCCACAAACTTGGTGGCTTAAAGGAACACATATTTACTCTCTGGGGGCCAGAGTCCGACACAGGAATTGCTAGGCTGAAGTCAAGGCATCTGCAGGGCTCTTTCCTTCTTTCTGGAGGCTTCAGGAAAGAATCCGCTCCATGGCCTTTCCTTCCTAGACACACCTGCATTCTTGGCTCATGGCCTGTTCTCTACCTTCAAGGACAGCAGTGTATCATCTTTTTTTTTTTCCATTTAAATTTTTAATAATTTATTTATAGCATTGGCTGGTGTGGCTCAGTGGATTGAGTGCTGGCCTGCAGACCAAAAGGTCGCTGGTTCGATTCCCAGTCAGGCCACATGCCTGGGTTGTGGGCCGTGTCCCAGTAGGGGGCGTGTGAGACAATAGACTGATGTTTCTCTCACACATTAATGTTTCTCTCCTTCTCTTTCTCTTTCTCCTCTCTCTAAAAATAAAATACTTTAAAATGTTTATACATTTTCATTAGAATTGAGACACAATATTGTGTCTCAGTTGTATTAATATTGTAGTGGCAGCGTCTCTCTCTGACCCTCCTGCCTCCCCCTTTCACTTACAAGGATCCCCGTGATGACGCCAGGCCCACCTGGGCAGCCCAGGCAGGCTCCCTGTTCCCGCACCATTAATTGAATCACATCTGCAAAGTCCCTTTGCCGCAGAGGGGGATATACTCGCAGGGTCTAGGGATCAGGGAGTAGACCTCTGTGGGCAGTCTTATTTTTTAAGATGTTATTTATTTTTAGAGAGAGGGGAAGGAAGGGAGAAAAGGGAGGGAGAGAAACATCGGTGTGAGAGAGAAACAGGTTGGTTGCCTCTCCCTGTCCGGGGGCCTGGCCCGCAACCCAGGCACGTGCCCTGACTTCGATCAAACCGGTGACCTTTCAGTTCACAGGCCAGCGCTCAGTCCACTGAGCCACACCAGCCAGGGCTCCATCTTTTCTTTCAATTTTTTGTTTTCTTTTGAAGGAACTGGGTCCTTTGTCCCATAGTTTCTCACAGTCTGATTTTGAGGAGTCCCTGTGGCATCTTTGACATGTTTCTCTGTCCCCTATAGCCATAAAACATTGGTGGTTACAATTGTCTTGATCAGAGGTCATTTTCAGCTTTGTCGTTTATTTGTTCAGTTTTGTCAAGAATATTTTCTTCAATTTGGCGTGTTCTTCCATCAGGAAGTCCATGAGGTTGGGCCGCTTCCCTTTTTGTGACGGAGCAACTGCGGATAGTTGTCCCCCAGACTCACGGTTCCGTCAGTGATGTCCTGGTCCCATCACTGCCTCTTTGTTACAGGGGTGCCCCACCCGCGGCTCAGGATGGCCGTGGTGCGGCCCAACACAAAACTGTAGATTTACTTAAAACATGATGGTTTTTTTGTGTGTGATTACGTGTCACAACGTATTTAACGTGTGGCCCAGAGACGCCGCAAGGTTGGATGCCCCTGGAGCAGCCGGGGCCCCCTGGCCTGCTCTCTGTGGGCCAGGTAGGCAGAGACCACGGAGGCAGGGCAGGGTCAGCGTTTGATTCCTTCTTTTAGTTACTGCTCATCAAAATAGTGAGTTGGACCCCTGATCTGCCAAGGGGGGTCATGAGGTTTCAATGTTTTTATTATTTATTTATCCATTTATTTTAGACATTTTGTTTATTTATAAAGAGAGGGGAAGGGAGGGAGAGGAACGCCGACCAGCCCCTCGCGTGCGCCCTACCTGGGGTGGCCCTTGGACTACTCCGTCCTGACGTGCGGCCTGGGTGCTGCCACCCACTGGACGTCCAGCCCCGCTTGTGACACCTTACTTTCAGTGCCTGGACATTGCTTATTATTTTGTTTTCTAATAGTGTGAAATATCTACCAAGTCTCAAAACTCAACCTGTAAACCAGGGCACATTCATACAAATCTAGCCATTGTCCCTGCCCCTCCACCTTCTTCTCTTCTCAAGATACATTTGTATTTTCCTTTTTAAAATATTAGCACTTAGATCCATAGATTCCTCTCCCATTTTGTTGTCCACTGCAGTTTTTCTCCACCTCATTTTCTGTTGGGCTCCATGTCCCTCCCTCACCCTGCGGGGGGCACAGCCGCTCCTCACTCCCTCGCTGGGGGCCCCATGGCTCGCCCCTCCTTGCGTGGGTGCTGGGCTCTTGCTCGTCTTTGATTGGTGGCCCAGGTCTCTGTGCATCAGCTGAATTAGAGCCGGCCTGGGATGCCTGCCTCTAGCCCCGTCCACTGGAAGCTCTGAGGGTCAGAGCTGTGGCAGGCCAAAGCTGCGGAAACCGAGGGTGAGGACGCGGAAGGTGTCAGGGCTGACCCCGTCTCTTACAGGACTCCTACCCGAGGTTCCTGAAGTCGGACATGTACAAAGCTTTGCTTGCAGAGGCCGTGATCCCCCCGGAGACAAAGAGACGGTGAGCCCAGGGGGCTGTGCCGGGAGCTGTGGGGCAGGCAGGGCGCTTGAGGGCGCCCAGCACTCAGGCCCCTTCTCACCCACAGAGTGTTCCCATTCGTGTGGAAGCCACGACATTCGAGCTCCAGACCTGCTTTGCTTCCTGCCTCCGCCTCCGCCTCCGCGGACAGTGCAGCTGCTGCTCGGGGCCCTGGGGGTGGTGATGGGGAGGCGTAGTTGGGCCGCAGCCTGGAGGAGGAAGTGACCAGCCTTGCCTCTATCACCCTTTTCTAGCCTAGGGTCCTGGCAGAGGCTGAGACCCCCAGCATGGGCACCCCTTGTGCACTGAGGGGCTGGCCTTGCTGTGGGGCACCCAGGTCTCTCAGGATTCCCAAAAGGAACTGGTCTGGGTGCTGACTTCCAGTGAGGGGGTGTTACTGGCTGACCTTGGGTCACCTGGAGAAAGGCGGGACGAAATGGGCAAACCAGACCAAGGCCGCGCCCCTGGTATTCTGTAGTCTCCAGTTTGCTGCTAGATGCCCACCCCTCTCCAGAACCATCACATCAGTAGGCGAGCACCAGGGAGCCAGATGCAGACACGGTGTCCAGCAGGAGGAAAGCGCCCACGTTGCAGAGCTAAATTACCCACTCCCCTCTGCCAGTGACTCCCATGGGGCCCCACAGAGCCCCCGGATTTTGCTCAGCCTTCCGAGTACATAGCTGTCCCCACAGGTGCTATCCTGACCTTCCGTCACTGTGCGTCCCAGAGCTGTCTGGAAGGGGCACCTCTCTGGCCTCCTCCAGTCCCTTGAAGATATGGCTTCTGTGCCATTTGTGCAGAGATGACTCCCACATTGTCACCCCTCTGACAGCTGTCCCTGTTCCCGCCCTGCCTGGGTGGGCAGGGGCGGGTGTCTCGCCTCCAAGGGTTCCCCACCTTCCCCCAGACTCAGGGTGAAGGGGCACGGCTCCTTTGGGGGTGTAGCTGAGTCAGCTGAATCCTGTGCTCTTCAGCCAGCCCCCCTCACAGGACTGGACTGCTCCCCCCATTCCTTGTGCAGGAATAAAAGACTCTGGGCCTCCCCCTGCTGTGGCTGGAACCGTGTGTCTGCGCACGAGGCAGGCAGGCGTCCCTGAGGGAGGCAGTGACAGACAACGTGGGGAGTTCAGTGCCACCAAGTTCCTGTGTGTGGGTGCCCACAATGGAGGGAGGACCAGCCTTTGGGCTGGACTCAGGTTGCACACTTGGGGGTGTTTGGTTTTGGGTGAGATGCTAGGAACACCGTCTGCACCATGACGGACCGGAATGCTTTGGCACTGCAGGGGGAGTGCAAAACCAGTACAGCTTCCTGGTACGGAATCCACTGTCTCCTGGGCAGGCTGCACCCTAAGGCCAGGGAGTCCCGGGGAACCCGGCATGGACCCCCACGGGCATGATGGCTACATTTACAAGTCCAGGGTGCTGGAGGCCCACTGACGAGGACACCCCCTGGGCTCAGCCCCCTAACTCCTGCTCACTATCCCCGGACTTATACAGGGTGGTCCCTCATGAGCTGGCTCCTCAGCCGGGGGTGGGGGTGGGGAGACCCCAAACTGGTACTGCTCTTGGGCGTCGCTCAAGCCTCCAGCCCAGCCAAACCCCAGGTGACTTTCACTTGCAGACCAGTCACTTTTAGCAGGTGTTTTTTTTTTTTTGGGGGGGGGGGCGCATGAGGTCACCGGGTCAGCTTCTCATATTTAAATGTCCACAGGAAATTACTACAGGATTCTCTAAAACTGTTCCCCTCATCACTTTGGTACCCAATGCTGCATCTCAGTGAAGCCTTCCGCCCGCCTGGGCAGCCACCAGAACTCACCCCTGGCCCCGCCCTGGCCAGCCATGGGTCCTGAGGGACTCACCGCACTGCCTTCCCAGGTGGGCGGACGCCCATATCCATGGGCTGGGTTCACGGTTTGCTGTGAACGGGAAGGGGTCCTCAAACCTGAGGCACTTAGAGGCTGTGCCGAAAAAGACCTCTGTCAGGGCTTTCCGTTTCTGCTCTGGCGGGACCGAGAGAACAAGCCCGCACTCCAAGAACCACAGGCACAGCACCCCTCGGCCACCTTCCCCACCCTGACCCCGAGGCCTGGCCAGGAGCAGAGATGTGAGGCGCATGTGTGTCCTCTGGGGCCTTTCCAGCCAGTGCAAAAAGTGTTTATTCTGCTTTCTTCCTGTGGTCCCCAGCGCCGTCAAGGTTTATTTATTTATCCTGCCTGGGAGCAGCTGAGCTGCAGCACACCCTAGTAGCCCTAGGGTGCAGCAAGGCACAGAGGTGAGTCCTGTGTCAGGGAACACCAATGCCAGGGAGATCTGAGCACCAGGAAGGAGGGGAGCTGGCTCCACCTGGGGTACAGGGACGAGTGGGACAAGTGACTCCAGTGTGTACGAAGAGGGTACAGAATGACCCCAGTGCGTGTCCTATGGCCAGTTCCTTGGGAAATTCACAGCACGAGCAGCCAGCACAGGGGTGGAAACCACCTCAGGGCGCCCTCCAGCAGGGCTGCCCACCACGCCCTGCAAGCCGAGTTTCTCACGAGCTGGGTCGAAGGGGCTCCCCACAGCAAGGTACCACCAACCATGCCAGAAGTGCTGGGGGCTGGTACTGCCCGAGGTCGCACTGCTGCCCTGACGCCACCCCAGGGCCCACCACCCTTTGAGCTGCATGACCTCAGGGGGACAGTGCAGAGTGGGACGAGCTAAGATGGGAAATGAAGTGGGCGCTTCCACTGGAGGGTTCTGGGCTCTGCCCCCCGCTGACCACAGTGAAGACAGCTGGCCTTGAGCATGTGACCCCTGTGGGGCAGAGTGAGGATCCATGTGAGGACACAGCCTGCTGGGCAGGAGAGGCCTGGGTCGTGAGGTGGGGTGGGGGAGATGGGGGGAGGGAGTCCGCACGCAGGTCCAGGGGACGGAGGCCCGCTTCCTGGGATGTTTGCTTGCAGCAGCGGCAGCCTCTCGCAGGTGCCCTGGCAGCTGTGCACCTAGGTCTCGCTCCGGTACCGCAGGCGGGAGAGCCGGTCCCTGATGGCCTGGTCGCTGTCTGGCACACCCTCGGTCAGGCGAACCACCCGGCTGCTCAGGATGAGGTCCTGTACCTTGTGCTTGGCCATGGAGACCAGGCCAGGTGCATCTGCGCTGCCTGGGCCCGTGAGGAGGATGTAGGCAGCATGGCGGCCCGGCTCAAACAGGGCCACTGGGGAGGACATAGCTGTCAGGTCTCTTGGGACCGGTCTCAGCAGACCTCCCCGTGGGCGGGGCCCAGGTCTGCACCAAGGCTGACTCACCTCGGAAGGCCACGATGTTGGCGGAGATATTGGCCAGCTCCAGCAGGACGCCTGGCAGGGTCGGGTGAAACATGTAGAGGCGGTGCGGGCTGTCTTGGGGCTCCTGCGGGGAGAACCAGCAATGGGGCACGGGGCTGACTGGGGCTGCAGCTGTCCCCGCAGCTCGGCCAAGAACCTGAGTGAATGTCCTAGGCCTGGTAGCTGGGTAATGCTGTGCTCTTATGAGACACTCCTGACAGTGACCACGACCAGAGCTGTGTGTACTGGGGTCCCCGCCTGGAGGCCCCACAACATCTATCCTAACTGTTCCCACTTTCCAGCCCTCTTCCCCCAGCTGACCCTGATCCTTCTCGGTATCCTCTACCTGCAACTGGGCCCCGCCCTCCCCAGTACATCCCGCTTCTTCCCAGATTCCCCTGTCTCTGCCCTGGAGGCAGACTCAAGCCCTGGCCTCCGCTGTGGCCAGGGCACTGCCTCATCCCCCCCAACCTCCCACGGCTTCTGTTTATGTGTGTGTGTGTCCAGTCAGCCAATCAGCTCCTCAAGGTGGGACCTAAGACTGGCCCTGGGCCTCTGGCCTTGGCTCCTGGGACGGGCGTGTCTGGGCTGTGCGCTCTGCCCATACCGTCTGGTTGGCACCGACTAGTTCGTGGAGACCCCAGAAGAAGAAGGCTGAGCGGTGGTCTGCAGTGGGCAGGCTGGCAGATGGAGGGTGCCCAGGGAGGCCTGGAAGGGCCTGACTCCACAGGACGGCCCCAGTGCTGAGGTCCAGGAGCAGGATCTGAGGAGGGAGAAGACAGCACGGGGGAGCTGACGTGGGGTCGCACAGGCACATGGCCCCCAGCTATGCCGGCCCTGGCCGAGCTGCTCCCTGGGGCTGACTAGGATGTCTCTAAGGTCTCTCTTGTCCCAGCTCAGACTTCAAGCCACAGCCCTGCCTGCTGTTGAGACTAATTTTCCTCAGCTACTTACAAAGGCGAGACCACAAAAAGGAAGTGCAGCCAACCTGTCTGTCAATGCCGGTTCCATTTTCAATGACCACAGCCAGGGTGTCAGGTTTGTAGTGACCAAGGGTGGGTTTTCTAGACAAATAGAGAAGGAGTCACAAGGGGTCTCTGTGAGGAGATACCTGGGGACAGGTATGCCACCCATCTTCTTGGCCAAACTTGGGTAGGGTCAGGGCTGCCCTGGCCAAGGGGGCTTCACCAGCCCCTCAGTGCAGGGCAGCACCAGAGGACAGGCAGGAGGCCCCTCGCAGAAGCATTCCAGCCCCCTCGCCCCTCCCAGTGGGGGGCCTTGTCCCCAGGGTTGCTGAGGGGGTGGGCTGGCGGTGCCTGGCTTGTGACAACTGCACGTGTTCCCGGAGCAGACCCCGTACCTGAGGACCTGGGCTACACCGAAGGTCCACCTGGGGGCCAGCTCCTGTCCGTCCAGCAGCACGCAGGCCTCCGAACCCACAAGGAGGAGGTCCTCACCGCCATTCCCGGGCACGTTCATCAGATGACTGATGGCTCCAGGGCTGGAGGAGGTGGAGGGTGCAGCTTGGACACAGAGCCAGGGGCAGGGACCCGCCCCGAGCACTGACCACCAGACTCCCATGAGCATCCCCGTATTTGTTAGTTCTCTAACTCGAGAGTATCAAACAAGACCCGCCCTGTGCATGGGGAGAGGGTGAGCCCACTGGTAGGAAACTTTTCTGGTTTTTTTTATTTTAAAGATTTTCTTTATTTTTTTTTAGAGAAGGGAAGGGAGGGAGAAAGAAAGGGAGAGAAACATCAATGTGTGGTTGTCTCTGGTGTGCCCCCTACTGGGGCCCTTGCCGGGAACCCAGGCATGTGCCCTGACTGGGAATTGAACCGCTGACCCTTTGATTTGCAGGCTGGCACTCAACCACTGAGCCACACCACCCACGGCTGTTTTTTTTCTATAAAGATTTTATTTATTGCCCTGGCAGATGTAGCTCAGTGGATTGAGCATGGGCTCGCAAACCAAAGGGTCACCAGTTCAATTCCCAGTTAGGGCACATGCCTGGGTTCTCGGCAAGGGTCCCAGCTGGGAGAGCACGAGAGGCAACCACACACTGATGTTTCTCTCCCTATCTTTCTCCTTCTCTTCTCTCTAAAAAAATAATAAATAAAATCTTTAAAGAAGATTTAAAAAAAATTTTTTTATAGATTTATTTATTTATTTATTTATTTTGTATCAATGTATGGTTGCTTCTCATGTGACCCCTGCTGGGAACTGGCCTGCAACCCAGGCATGTGCCCTGACTAGGAATTGAACCGCAATCTTTTGGTTCGAAGGCCCGTGCTCAATCCACTGAGCTACACCAGCCAGAGCCTAAAAAAGATTTTATTTATTTTTAGAGAGAGTGGGAAAGAGAGGGGAAAAGAGAGGGAGAGAAACACTGGTGTGAAAGAGAGATACATTGATCAACTGCCTCTCATACACACCCTAACTGGGGATCGAACCCATAACCTAGGCATGTGCCCGGACTGGGAATCAAACCAGCAATCCCTCGCTTTGCGGGACAATGCCTAACCAACTGAACCACACGAGTCAGGGCTTCCCTGGTTTTCACGTGGCTTCTGTTTGCTCAGGTCCGAAGTCTGAGCCCAGGGGGACCTCACAGTACCAGTGGCCAGACCCACAGCCCCGACTGCTCTGAGCAGTGAGGAATACGACCTGGCCTGTGTGACACCACCCAGGCCCACCTGTGCAAAAACAGCCCGTGCTTGGTGGCGTTGAGCATGTCCTCCCAGCTGGGGTCTGTCCTTAGTGGGCTGTCTCTCCCGGTCACTTTTTCATAGATGTCCTTCACAGAGCGGCCACAGAGGGAACTTGCTACTCAACACACAGAAGAGCCTCAGGTCACCAGGGGTTGTTGCTAGGAGACCAGGAGGCTGTGTGCCCATCAGCCCCACCTCTAGAAACACATGGTGCCTCCTTGAGCCTGGGAGCCGGTGCTGAGACCACCCGTGGCTTTCTCAGTCTGTCAATGATTAATCTGAACCCCTAGGATAAAAGCAGGAGTGACGAGCAGAGCCTCACAGGCGGCTGTGGATCCCCTCGCACCTGCTTTCTGCAGGGCGCACCCCCCACCTGAGACCAGCACGGCCTCTGCGGGTGGGCCTGTGCTGGGGCCCAGCAGGCGCGACATGCGACATACCGCAGGAAAGAAGGATGTAGTGGGCACCTGCCCTGGTGATGTAAAGGAGGAAGCCACTGGTCTTGTCCACACTGAGGCTGCCCCGGTGGCCAATCTGGTGCCCGGTGCTGCCTGAATAGAGGTAGCTGCTAACCTGCAAAACACAGGAGCAAAAAGGGTCAAAACCCCCCTGGTTTGGGGGAAAAACGCTTTGATTGAAGTGTCTGGTATCAGGCATCTGCATGTGGCCTGCCTGGGGGAAGCGGGTAGTCTCTCAGGCCCAATTCCCCCCCATCCTTGCAGCCCCGCCCATGCCGCAGTGCGCACACGCGAAATGTACTCCTGTTCCTGGGGAGGCCCGTAGACCTGCCCCAGTGCGCTGGGTCTGCAGGTGCCAGAGCAAAGGGCCTTGGACAAGTGCCCTGACAGCGGCTAGACCCAAACTCTGCCTGGGAAGTGGAAGTGAACCACGGAGCAGAGAAGGGAGAGACCACGTGGCGCGTGGGCTGCGTGACTCAGGAGGAGAGCTGTACCTCCTTTTCCTCTTGGGTGAGCACCAGCAGATCTGGGGCCCCATCGGCATCAAGGTCAGGAACCTGGAGTAAAGGGCTTAGGATGGAAGTGTTCCTTCTGAAACTGCTGGGCTGTCTCCACAGGGTCTCCCCTAAAACCAAACACACATCACTGGGCACCGACCCCAGACCCCCTTCCACTGAACTCGGCCTGGCAAGTGCACAGATGCTCCAACTTGGAAATGACACACCTGCCAACAGGGGGCTGAAGGCAGGTGAAAGTGCGAATACACTGATGTGCACGTCTGCAAAAAGTCTAGGGTCTAGGGGCTTATATAGCAGAGTGTTAAAGCATGACTTCTGGGAACCGCAGAACTTCCCCACCTTTTTTTACCCATTTTCTAATGTTTGGTTCCAGAGTACCTTGGGACCAATGCTGACTCTCCCCATTAGGATGAACAGGGCCTGCCCTCACCATGTCCTGAGACCCCTCAGGACCCCTGTCTGTTGCTGGGCTCAAAGATGGACCCTCTGCCACCATGAAGGCCCTGGCAAAGTGGCCTGGGCTTTTGCCTTTCACACAGAAGGAGAGAATGAAGGTGCTTAGGGCTACACCTGGGGACTGCAGGTCCTGAGGTAACAGCTTCTGACCCAGCATCATCTTGTCCTTTTTTAAAGACTGATTCCTGCCCTGACCGGTGTAGCTGAGTGGATTGAGTGCGAGCTGAGAACCAAAGGGTTGCCAGTTTGATTCCCAGTCAGGGCACACGCCTGGGCTGCGGGCCAGGTCCCCAGTGGGGGCCACACGAGAGGCAACCACACATTGGTGTTTCTCTCCCACTCTTTCTCCCTCTCTTCCCCCATCTCTAAAAAGAAATATAATAAAATCTTTTTTTTTTAAAAGAGACTGATTCCTCTCTTCTTAAAATATTTCAAGCCCGCTGTTCATTTTCCTCCATATCCTTAACACCACACCTTGTAAGGGAAATACTAATACCCACAAAATCTAGTGTCAAAGCCCAGAGTCCCACAAGACCTGGGTAAGGCACCCCCTTACCAAGTGGCCATCCCCTTGGTGCCCAAACACGGCGGTGACAGGGACGAGGAGCACCCTCGCGTGCGGCGCAGACGCCCTGGTCTCCACTCCCCTGTGGCGCTCGCCTGCACCTGCCCTGCGTGCCGCAAGACAAAGCTGCGGCCACGAACTCCCTACGACAAGCAGCAGCCAGGCTCCTCCTCTGCATCTCTGCCACTTCACAGAAAGTAAAGTGCCCTGCCATGCCCCCTCAAGCAAGACTTAACCAGGTGACAAGACTCAACAGTGTGTGACACGTCAGAGTAGCTTTGGTGTGTGACTGCGAAGTAGCTGTGCCCTTCCCACTCCCTACCCGCCCTTCCCACCCAATCGCACTGCCTGAGAGCACAGGCCGGCGCTGCTCGGAGCGCCCTGCCGTCGGTGCCCCCCAAGGCGGCCCAGTGCGGGTGCGGAGGGCACTGGCCTACCTGTAGACGAGTTGACTGCGATGAAAGAACCAGCGCTGCCCACGAGGATGCAGGCGGGGGCTGCCCCACCGTCCCTCGGCTGAGCCGCATCACACCACACGAGGCCTCCGTCCTGGGCTGCAGGCCTCTCCCAGAGGATGCTGCCGTTGGCTCCGGACACAGCAGCCACGAAGGAGCAGGGAGAGGAAAAGCCTGGAGGGGACAGACCCGGCGCACACGGCCCACACACTGCCAGTCCTCCCTCACCTTGTTCCCTGCCATGACCCCCTCTGCCCAGGCTCATTCCCTTTACACCTAGACCCCTTACTCGCTCCACACCCATGGGGGCCCCAGTGTTGACCCCATGGGGGTCAGCAATCAAGCAAGGTGGGTGCTGAGACTGGAGCTTGCCGCCCCCCCGCCCCCCCGTCTCTTTCTAGTCCTGCTACAAATGAAGGGCAATGACGGTTTCCAGAAATCCTACCATTGCTTTCCCCAAACACTGCAAAAGTAAGGATTCCTCTTCCTACAGGGTATTTCATCCTTCAGGTAGAAACAAAATTACCTTCATCAGTACAGGACTGGTTGAAATTGTCGCTGCCGCTGGTGTTTTTATAAAGGAAGAGAACATCTTGGACCTTGTCCCTGTTTATGTCTTTTGTGGCCAAAAAGTCGTAGGTGACTGAAAAAGAAAACCACAGACTACAGTATATTCTTTAGGCCATACCTGGTTTAAAGGCCAGGCTACGTCTGATGTGACCTACTTCTCTGCTCCTCAGGGTTCAGTGCCAGTTAGAGCCCACCCTGGGGGAGGGCCACAGGGACCGCAACGTCCCACACCTCAGAAGACCAGTGCCTCTTCATCCACATGATGGGCCCAGTGTCGGAGGCCGGCCTTCAGGAAGGGGCGAGCACGACCCCTGGGTGCAGGAACGGACACTCTGAGCAACTTGTGCTCAGGAATGAAGTCCTCCTTACATCACTTTGGGATCGAAAGACGCTACACTTCCTTATGCATTAGGGTCTAACCTTTTGTTTGAAGACTCAAAAGATAAACTAAGAATGAAATTGTCCCTTACACCATGTACAAAATGCACTCAAAATGGATCAAAGACATGAATTCAAGAGCTAGAACTATAAAACTCTTAGCAGAAAACATAGGAAATCACAACTTTGGTTTTGGTAATGATTTCTTTGCTGTAACAATAAAAGCATAGGAAAAATAAAAACAAAAATAAAAACATAGGCAACTGTAAGAGAGAAGTAGAGTGTCCAGAGAGAGGCTGATTCGGTTGCTTTTCAGAGGCAGAAATTCCAGACTGCCGACTGTATGAACAGTCAAAGTGTGCTTTACTCTAGCCAAACCCTTCAAGAAGACTGGAGTACAAGACCAGCTGCACATCTGCCACATTTCCGAACAGCCTTCTCTATATCTCTTCTTCCAGTCACTGTTTTATTTATTTTTTAAAAAATATTTTATATATTTACCTTTAGAGGGGAAGGGAAGGAGAGATGGAGAGAAATATCAATGTATGGTTGCCTCTCATGCATCCCCTGCTGGGACCTGGCTTGCAACCCAGGCACATGCCTTGACTGGGAATCGAACCACGATGGTCTGGTTCGCAGGCCCGTGCCCAATCCACTGAGCTACACTAGCCAGGGTGTTTTATTTTTTTTAACTTGTAAAAGTATTAAGGGCCACTAGCCTGACCTTCCTAAAATGGGGGAGCAGGCTGCTATGCTTCCACAGCAGTCCTCCATTTTTACTGAGAAACTGCTCTTGTAGCTCCTCCCAAATTCCAGGAAAACAGTGGACAGAACTGGCAGCTACTGAGGGTCGATGACTTCCACCATGCGCTGCACCAGCGCAAATGCGTCTTCTCCCCTAGCTTTGGACCTCCCCGCTCATCTCCCATGGAAATGCACCCCAAATGCTCCTGCCCCACTGGCAGATCCTGCACGTGTGCTGGCGGATGCAGGTGTCCCGCCTGCTTGTGCTGCCCCACCGGCCTTGCCCACTGTGCCCAGAGCTGCGTCCACAAAGGAGCATCGGACCAGTGTCGCTGTGTGCGTGACGTCAGGGCGACCCTGCTCCCAGAGTGAGCACAGCAAAGCGTTCAAACCTGCATTTGTTTTTTACTCCACCCTGAGCCATTTGCCACATTTTCTACATTAAATATGGGAGGGATAATAAAAGTTGGTGACTTAAGGCCTGGCTGGTGAGGCTCAGTGAATTGAGTACCAGCCTGTGGGCCAAGAGTCACTAGTTCAATTCCTAGTCAGGGCACACGCATGGGTTGCAGGCCAGGTCCCCAGTGGGGGGGCGCAAAAGGCAACCACACATTGATGTTTCTCTTCCTCTCTTTCCCCTCTCTAAAAATAAATAAAATCTTAAACAAACAAACAAACAAAAACGTTATTGACTTAAAAAAAATAGATGACTTCTAAATTCCCGGATACACATGCTGCCCTCACAGCTCACCCAGGAGAGAGAAGGTCACTGCAGGGTGTGGGGGGCGACGCACCTGCTGTGTTGTAATCGATCCTCCACATCCCCTGTAACGCCAGCCTGTCTGGACACGGGATGATGAAGGAAATCATAAACACCACCAAAAGGCAGATGAACAGTGAGAGAAAAAATGCCGCCGTCCGGCACCGGGAAAGGCGAGACCGCTGAGGCGCGCCTTTCAAGTTCTCTTCCTTTTTCAACTGGCTTCCCAGGTTCTCCTGCAATTTCCCATCTTCGTTCTTCAAGGGGTGGATTTCAGCTTCCAAGTCCTTGGGGTCCATCGTGTGCACATCACAAAGTTTACCTCCCGATCACTGAGTCAATAAAAAAGAGACGGTTAAGAGCTGCTCCAAGGCACCAATGTCCTCGGTGGCATAGGGGCATGGTCACAGTGGTGGCTGGGGACCATCAGCCCAAGAAATAAAAGCTAAATAAATGTTCAGGGTGTCAACGATTCCACTGAGGAAGGTCTCTAATTCAGAACAGTAAATTGGTAGAGCCAACACAGGAAATACTTTCACCCCTCAATACACTGACATTTCTTGCCCACTGACGCTGAGACAAGCCTAGGGAGCTGCAGGGCAGTGCTGGGCCGGGGCTGATAATAACTAAACATTAACCAAGAAGGCCCTGTCAGCGCTGGGGCTGGGCACCTCTGATAAGCCTTCTGCCAGCCTAAAGTACAGATGGAAAGTGTGGCCTGGTGGGGTCCCCTGGAGGGTCACAGACCCCAAATTAAAAGCATCGTGAGTGAAGGCAGGCCCTGGAGCCTGGACCTGCACACTGTGTGATCTGGGCAGCTCCTCAGGCAACAGTGCCTGATTTCCTTACCTGGCAAAGGGAAGCGATATCTACTTTAGAAGACTGTTTTGAGGGTTAAATTAGTAAGTGAATAGAAAGGGGCATTTAGAACAGTATCTGACACATATGAAGCACTCAAATACTAGCTACTTGTTATTATTTTAAAATTTTATTTTATTTTTGGAGAGAGGAAAAGGGAGGGAGAAAGACAGGGAGAGAAATATCAATTGGTTGCCTTCCATACATGCTGTGGGGACCAAACCTGCAACCCTGGCATGTGCCCGCTCCAGGAATCCAACCAGAGACCTCTCCGTTCTCAGGACGACGCCCAATCAACTGAGCCACACCAGCCAGGGGACACTAGTTAATTGTTAATAACAAGATAAAGTGTATTAGAAGTCACATGGAAGAACGTGGACAGCTGCACGGATGAGGGCAGGGGACATGCACAGCTGCTGAGCCCTCACGGTGGAGAATAAGCTCTCTCCTGCCCTGCTCCCCTTCCTATGGCTGAATGGGGGGGGGGAAACCTGGGGCCGCCACCTTGAAGAATAAGATGGAAAACACTTTAGAAGACAGTGAAGTCGCAGGACAGAAAGAGCATGGTCCCTGGTAGCTGGAAACCACCACCATTGATCCTGGAGTTCCTTATTAAATGAGAGAAACAAACTTCTATCCTGTGTAAGTCAAGTACTCAAACCAATGTCCTAACTAACACAAATTGTATTAAGACAAAGGAAGGGATTATGTGAGCCAGAGTAAGTTGTCATCCTCACCTAGCCAGGCTCGAAACGAGTAACACAGAACACACCAGGGGTGAAATCTCCGGTGGTACCTGGACAAACAACAGAAACGTGCTCCCTCCAGGACCGGGCTAGAGGAGGGTGGAGAGGGACAAGAGACTGATGCTCCTGGTATCGATTTTTTATTGTTTGACTTTAACTGGTTTCCTCCCTTTCATAAACAACTGGTTTAAAAACCTGTGTATACACCCGCTCGAGTAGCTTTAATTACAGAAACTAAAAATGACAAGTGTTACCCTGACCCAGTGGCTCAGTTGGTTGGAGCATTGTCCCATGCACCAAAAAGTTTTGGGTTCGAGCCCCGGTTGAGGCATGTAGAGAAGACAACCAATCAGTTTCTCTCTCACATCAATGCTTCTCCCTCCATTCCTCTCTCTAAAATCAATAACCATAGCCTCGGGTGAGGGTTTAAAACAAACAAGGGAAAGTGCTGGTGAGAACGTGGAGAATCAGGAGCCTTGGGCAGCGCTGGTGGAATGGCCTGGCGGCTCCGCAAGGGTTAGGCAGAGCCACTGATGACCCAGCCACTGCACTTCTAAGCCCAAAGAAATGAAAACAGGCCTGTACCAAAATGTGTAAACAAATATTCATAACTTCATTATTTCGAACAACCCAAATGTCCTCAACAGATGAATGGACAAGCAAAGTGTGGTGACTCTGTACAGTGAGTGTTATTTGGCCCTAAGAGGAAAAAAGCTCTCACACGCTGCAGCACAGATGAGCCCTGGAAACACTTCCGCTCCATGAAAAATAACCCAGGCACCAAAGGTCACATATTTTATGATTCCACTTATATAAAACATCCAGAACAGGCAAATCCACACAGGCAGAAAGATTAGCGGTTGCCCAGGTCTGGGGGAGGGGAAATGGGGATGACTGACAGCCAATCCAGGCGGGGTTTCCCTTGGGGGGGGGTAAAAGTGGTGGTGCTGGTTGTGAAACATCACGAGCACTAAATGCCACTGATGATAAATTTTATGTCATGTGTATTTTACCACAATTTAAAAAGAAAACCAAACAAATCTGTGTACATTCTCCTTAGTGCTGAGACGTGTAAGTTTTATCATCTTGGAAGTCAGAAAAGGTGTGTCTGTCAAAGGTAGTAAGTTCAACACAAGAAATCAAACAGTGACTCATGACCAGGGACCTCACCAAACCCACATAACTGACGTGGGTGTGGGGAGGTGGGGTGGGGTGCCTGCAGGGGTAACTAGGGAAAGAGCCAGCAGCACAATCTTGACCCACAGACAAGCCGCTTACTCAGAACATCTGGCCACTTTGTCCCCAGTAAGGGGATGTCTGAAATAATCAAAACACATCAATTCCTTCATTAAGGGAAAGAAAACTGAATGAGAATTCAGAATTCTAAAATTCTTTATTTTAAAGCTCTATCTTTAAAGTTCTCTTACTTAAGAGCTTTAAAATGTTGGGCCCTGGCTGGTGTGGCTCAGTGGATTGAGAACATGCCTGCGAACCAAACAATCATGGTTCGACTCCCAGTCAGGGCACATGCCTGGGTTGCAGGCCAGTTCCCAGCAGGGGATGCATGAGAGGCAACCATACATTGAAATTTCTCTCTCTCCTTCCCTTCTCCTCTAAAGATAAATAAATAAATAAAATCTTAAAAAAAAATGTTGGGCAAGAAACTCAAGCTTTCAGAGCTCAAGCTGCCCTCATCAGTCGGAAGCAGAAGCGTTTACCAGGAGACAGCAGGAAATCGCCCTAAGACTGTCTATGCGAGAATGAGGGGCGTCTGCTCAAAATGACACAGCTGTTCCCACTGTCTCTCACCTGAGTTCCCCAGACCTACCTTGTGGCAGGAGCACCGGAAGACGTGTTCAACATGAGCTTCCAGAGAGCCACTGGTGCATCTGGTGATTGGGTCTGGATGGGTAGATCTAGGGATTGTAAAGCTGTTGGTGAAAGGCATCTCGGGCAGCCTGTGAACGCGCCAGGTGAAGGATGGAGGTCATCCCACTTTCACTGTCAGATGAAGACTAGGTTTCTCTTGCCTCTGGCCCCTGAAGTGGAGACTCCACCCCCACTGTCAGCCGGAAAGAAAGCCAAGGGAGGGAGGAAGAGCCTCTCCCAGTAACCAACCTCTTCGTTGGTCTTAGCATCCCTAAACTACGGGGATCCCTAAAGCTAAAAGCAAAGGATAGTGCAAAACAATTACTACTGACGTTGTTTGGGGTTCTATTTTTTTTAATTAATTTTATTTATTTATTTATCTTTAGAGGGGAAAGGAAGGAGAGAGGGAGAGAAATATCAATGTATGGTTGCCTCTTGTGTGTCCCCTGCTGGGAACTGGCCTGTAACCCAGGCATGTGCCCTGACTGGGAATTGAACCGTGGTTGCTTGGTTCCCAGGCCCGCGCTCAATCCACTGAGCTACACCAGCCAGGGCTGGGGTTCTATTTTTTTAAGTTAGCAATATAGTATACATATTTGAAAGGTGTACAAGCATATGTCTCCCTCCTTCTTGTGACCCTCAAGCTCAAGAGAAGCATGTTAGCAGTTTGTTTCTTTGTTTTTTAATCCTCACCCAAGGATATGTTCATTGATTTTAGAGTCTCACACACACAGTCCAATGGGAGAGAGAAATATCAATCAGTTGTCTCCTGTACTGCCCTGACTGGGGACTAAACCTGAAATCTTTTGGTGTATGGGATGACGCACCAACCAACCACAGCACCAGGCCAGGGCAGTTGGCAGTTCGTTACGGCTCCCTCCGAAAAGGCTCTGTGCACCGGCATGCCTAAGGTGTGTTTTTAAAACATGACCAGAAATGTGAGTCTTCCCCACACATCAGGAGATCTCGATCAGCTCACTGGCTTCCTCTTTTCCTATTAAAAGAACTGTTTCAAGACAGCCCTGACCAGTGAGGCTCAGTTGGTTGGGTGTCATCCCTCCAAGTGAAAGATCACCAGTTCGGTTCCCGGTCAGGGCACATGCTGGGGTTCCGTCCTGGAAGGGGCACCTACTGGAGGCAATTGATCAATGTTTCATGCTCCCACCAATGTCCTTTCTCTTTCCCCCACTAAAAATAAATATAAAAAAAAATCTTTGTGGGGGGGGGGGAAGAATTGTTTCAAGTCTAAAGCTTCCCAAGGAGTGAAGGCTCTATATCTGAGATCCTTAAAACCTGAACTTCACTAAGGAACATAAGCTCTTTGCATTGAAGGTTCCTTGAGTCTTCCAGTGAAGTTTTGCAACTTCCACCCTTATAGAAATATCTTCTTTTTTTTTTTTTTTTAATATTTTCTTTATTTATTTTTCGAGAGAGGGGAAGGGAAGGAGAAAGAGTGGGAGAGAAACATCAATGTGTGGTTGCCTTTCATGCGTCCGCTGCCGGGAACTGGCCTGCAACCCAGGCATGTGCCCTGACTGGGAATCGAACTGCGATACTCTGGTTCGCAGGCCCGCGCTCAATCCACTGAGCTACGCCAGCCAGGGCGAAATATCTTCTACAAGGGGGCTTCGCAAAGAATGTGAGAAAGAGGAGGCAGTGAGTATGCGTGTAGCAGGCTCCCACGGTTCCCACGGCCGTCTCCTCGTGGCTGCGGAGGCAGGGCTTTCCTGACGCCAGGCTACAGACTGAGCCTGGGCTGTGCCTTTTTGGGCAGCAGCGCTCCAAGTCTCGTAGTTTAGAACTTGCAGTTCCATGTTAGCGGAGGAGAAGGAGGTTCCTAGTCATCCTCAGATCTCAGATGTCTCAACTTACACCTAAATAATATTGTAAAATCTGAGATTTTACATGTAAAATATGGTAAATCTGAGAATATGGTGTTCTTTACAGAAATATACAATGTTAGTACACTCAGTGCCATTGTACAAACCAGCCACAGGTGAGTGTAATATGTGCTGTATTAAAAAAGAAAAATATCTGATATACCAAGTGGAACGATAACATCTTTTTGGTTTTTAAAAACAGCAGTATTAGAAATCAGTATCAAAAAAACATATTCAAACAATATAAAAAATTGTCTGAAAATTAAATGACACTTCAAAATAACCATGAGTAAAAGAAGAAAATAAAAAAATAAAATGTTTAGCCCTGACCACTGTGGCTCAGTTGGTTGGGTGTTGGTCCACAAACCTAAAGGCCGCAGGTTCAATTCCCGGCGAGGGCACATGCCTGGGTTGCTGCCTTGGTCCCCAGTTGGGGCTTGAGAGGAAGGGAACTGGTGGATGTTTCTCTCTCACGTCAATGTTTCCCTCCCTCTTGTTCCTCCTCCCTTCCCCCTCTCTAAAATCAAAAATTAAAATTAAATTGAAAAATAAAATATTTTAGCCCTGGCTGGTGTGGCTTAGCGGACTGAGCACCCACCTGCGAACTGACGGGTCTTCAGTTTGATTCCCAGGCAGGACACACGCCAGGGCTGCGGACCAGGCCCTGGCTGGGGGCCATGTGACAGGGAAAGATGTTTCTATTGTAAACTGATGAGTCCCCCCCCTCTCTAAAACAAACAAATAAAATATAAAAATAAGTAAATATTTTAAAGTGATGAAAACAAACATTTAAAAAACTGTAGAATGTTGCTCAAGCTGTAAGTGGGGAAATTTATAACCCAAAATACCTATATTAGAAAGATTTCAAATCAGTATTTCAACCATGAGCTGAAATTAGGGGAAAAAAGTAATTCAACTCAAAGCAAGCAAAAAATAGGAGGGAATGATAACAAAAGAGGAAATTAATGAAATAGTAAACTGAAAAAATATTTTTAAAAAATTAACAAGGAAACTGCAGCTGTTGTGGGCACGTGCCTATTCAGGGCCGCAGTGGTTTCTGGGCAGGCTGTCCTCTTCCTCATCACGCCATGTCCAACTCCGCCCTACGAACTGTCTCGCTCTGAAGTCTACTCTATCATTAAGATAGTTATTCTCATCCTTTTCTGATTAATGTCTCATGATATACATATGTCTTTTTCTATCCTTTTACTTTCAATTAACCTGTTTCATTATATTTGAAGCAGGTTCCTTTTAGACAACATATGGATAATTTTTAAATTAAATTTATTGTTTTATTGCTCATCTGGGGGTGTTTTTAAAAAAATTAATTTCAGCCCTGGCTGGTGTAGCTCAGTGGATTGAGCATGGGCTGCAAAACAAAAAGTTGCAGTTCGATTCCCAGTCAGGGCACATGCCTGGGTTGCAGGCCAGGTCCCCAGTAGGGGACTCATGAGAGGCAACCACACATTGATGTTTCTCTCCCTTTCTCCTTCCCTTCCCCTCTCTCTAAAGAGAAATAAATAAAATCTTTAAAAAAATTAATTTCGGAGAGAGAGGATGGGGCGGGGGGAGAGGGGGAGAAGGCAGGGCGGAGGGGGGGGGAATGTGGATCGGTTGCCTCCCATACACACCCTGACGGGATTGAACCCACAATCTTACAATCCTTTTGGTGTACAGGACAACACCCCAACCAAGTGAGCCATGTGGCCAGGCTGGATCATTTAAAAAAATTTTAATGTACTGATTGCTTTTTACAGAAAGGAAGAGAGAGAGGGAGATAAGGAGGGAGAGAGAGAGAGAGAGACAGAGACGAACACGCGGGTTTGTGGCACTGGCTGTGCATTCACTGGTTGCTTCTCGGGTGCGCCCTGACCTGAGACAGAACCTGCACCCTCGGTGCCACAGGGCGATGCTCTAACAAAGGGAGCTCCGGGGTCAGAGGTGGATCTTCTTTTTAAAAATCCACTCTGCAATCTTTAATTCTCATTTACTTTCAAGGAAATTATAGAAATGTTAGGCCTTTTAGTAGTTTGCTCCCTGGTTTTTCCCCTTGGTTCTCTCTGCCTGACTGCCTGTGTGTGTGGATTACCTGAATGTTATTGAGAACTCAGTCTCATTTATCTGTAGTGTTGCCCTCAGTATGACATTAGACACACCTAACTTAGTGCAATCTACTGGTGTCAGCATTTTTCTGTTGCACTTCAATCGAAATGTGGAAAATGAACTTCCCTTTAAGTCCTTTTACCTACCCTTGTGTGTATTATATTAAATATTTCCTCTATATACATTGAGAACCACATCAGTATTATAGTTTCTGTTCCAAACATCAATTTAGAAAACTAGAGAAGAAAAATCTGTAACATTTACTCATACTTGTGTTTTTTCTATTTTTCTCCCTAAACTTTCAAGATTCCTTCTTTTATCATTTCCTTTCTGTTTCAAGAAATTCCTTCAGTCATACTTAAAAGTCGGTCTACTGGCAACAAATCAATTTTCCTCATTTGAAAATGTCTTTATTTCTCCACCATTCCTAAAGAATAATTGCACCAGGTAAAAATCTCCAGGTTTGTGGCACACCTTCCTTGGGGCATGCCCACTCAAATCTCCTTTTCACATGAATTTTCTTTCCTCTAAACCCTAAGGGTCCCCACGAGACTTGCAAGCAGGGTCATTTTTAAATCCACCCTGCAATCTCTTATTCTCAGACCATTTACTTTCAAGGAAATTATCGATATGTTAGGCCTTTAGTCTGCCTTTTAGTAGTTTGTTCCCTGTTTGTTTTTTTTCTTGGTTCTCTTTTCCTGACTTCCTGTGACTAACTGAATGTTACTTTGAACTCCAGTTTAGAACTTGCAGTGGGCAGCAGCTCACCCAGGACTAACCGCCCAAACCTCTCCTCAAAGCCCCCCTTTCTCTGACTTCCCGGTGAGCTGACAGCAGCCCCGCCTGGGCTCTCCTGTTGCTTCTTCCACCTTAAGCCCTTCCTTGTTCCACTGTCCCCATTTTAATAAATGTTCTCTCAAAAAGCAACTTGGGTTTGACAGGTTCTTTGCTGTCAGCACTGGACAAATGTGACGCCACCTCCTTCTGGCCTTCGAGGTTTCCGACAAGAAATCTGTCGTTTGAATTGTGTTTCCCCGTAAGTAACACGTCAATTCTTTTTCTTCTTCTTTTTTTTCAGAAGTTTAATTATAATCTATCTTGGCACGAATTTCTTTGAGTTTATTTATCCTGTTTCAGGTTTGCTCAGCTTCCTGAAGCTGTAAGTTTACAGTTTTGCAAAGTGATGAATACTGTCAATCATCATTTCGGTTCACCCGTGGGCAGCAGTGGGTGGGAGGGCTTCAGGCCCTCCCAGTAGGGGCCTGATCTGAACAGGATCAAAGATAAAATACCAGACGCTTCCTCCTAAATGGAACTGATGTTTATAAACTCATAGCTTTTTTTTTGTTTCACATGGCAAAGGTTAAATTCCAGATAAAGATGGAGTAAGAGAAACTTCAAGGTATTTTACCTCTAATATCACAATGAAGTATCTGCAAACCATGCACCTGGACAAACCATATCCCTGACACTAAGGGTGTTTTTTGGCTCCTCATCGGCTAGCACAGGGAAGACCCACAGACACTGGGCATGAAAGAGTCCAACTTTGGAACAAAAATGGCTATCTCAGAGCTGGGAAAATTCAATGTGAGATGCCTGGAGAACAGGAATCCTAGGGAACTGCAACGGTGGTTCACATCGAGTCAACAGATCTTAAAGGGAAACAAAATCCATTATGTGTGCACAAATACAGAGTGAGGTTCAAAAGTGGGCTTACAGTCCACTTTTAGTTGGACTATAGTTTAGTTTAGAGGACTTATAGTTGTTCCTATGGGAAACAGTATAATAATAAATAAAAAAATAACATGCCCTGGTTGGGTAGTTCAGTTGGTTAGAGCATCATCCCGTTACTCCAAAATTGCAGGTTCGATCTCCAGTCAGGGCACATACAAGAAGCAACCAATGAATACATAAATAAGCAGAGCAACAGAATCAATATTTCTTTGTCTCTCTCTCTCTCTCCCCTTTCCTCTTTCTCTCTAAAATCAATAAATTAATATTAATTAATTAATTCATTAGAAAACACTGTGCTTTGTGTACTCACAACTGTAAATCTACTTTTGAAATAAAATTTTGAAACAATTTTTAAACCTATTTTTTCAAACCCTGTGTATAAAATGAAATGAATGCTTACCAGATACTAAAAAGGAATTAAGCAATTTTAATCTAATAAAAGCTGTGAAGATAAAACAGTTGAAGAAAAAATGAGGAAAAAGAGCATGAGGTGAAGAGACTGGTATCTTTACTTCATTTGCATTCGCTGTTCTTTTCTGTCTCTTCTAACAAGCTGGTGGGCTTGAGGACAGAAATTAGAAACTGAGTCACGGGATTTTCAGACAGTCGTTGACTGGTATTTTTCCTATCAATCCTGAGCTTCAGAAGTGATTAACTATCTGCTCTGGCCCGAGTAGCCCAGTGGTTGGAGCGTCACCCTGTAACAGAAAGACTGGGATTCGATTTGCGGTCAGGCCACATAACCCAGGTTGCAGGTCCATCCCTGGTCTGGGTGCCGGAACATGCGAAGCCCCCCAACTCTGGATGTGCATGAGCCCCAGACCTGGCATGGATCCCCAGTCTGGGTGCTACAAAGGCAACCAATCAACTATTCTCTCACATCGACGTTTCTTTCTCTCCCTTCCTCTCTCTCTCTAAACAAGCAAATTAAGGTGTCCTCAGGTAAGGATTAAAGAAACCCAAAACGAAATGGTAACTATAAAGTCCACATTTTGACTAAATGTCCAATAAAACAAAACAAATGAAGAAAAATGTAAGGGATGAAAAAGAAAGTGTATCAGTATGATACATATTAAGGTAAAAGATGTGACTCTCAGGGTAACAGTGAAATAAACATGGTCCCCGCGAATGGATTTCGGATCGCTCCCCCGCACTAAGGAACTGTGAGGAAGCAGACACACCTGGAGACTGTGAGTGTGCCTGAGCTGCCACCCCGGTCCTCCCAGAAGTGTACAGGCTAGGCCACCCAGGGTGGAAACTCTAATCATGGGGAAAAACACTAAAATAAAATGACGGTTTATGCAGTTCATTAACTTTTCAACGGTAGGCATGCTATAGTTCATGGTGCGGCACAAATAATGCGCCTATTTATTACAGGATCTTTTATCACAAAGTCATAAGCATAAAATTCTGTAATATAACAACATCGCACTCAAACACACTGTATGACATTTTAGGTGAAATGTTCAAATTAGAACTATAAATTATTGCACCCGTATTATTATCCTACTAACCACATTCACGCAGGTGTTACTTCTACCAGACCCTGTACATGCAGAAAGAAAATAAAGAGTGTCTTTTTCTCCAAGAGCTTTTTCTCTAAGGTTTACTGAGTCAGAGAGGACAGAAAATTTAAGGAAAAAAGTCTCACTCTAATTGTTTTTTAAACAGATAAGGAAGCATAAATATTCTACCAAGGGCAGAAGAAAAACTGCCAAAAAAACAACTGAGAATTCTTCAGATATTATGAAAGTAGGGGTCTCTCAGGTCAGGTAGCTCAGCTGATTAGAACACCATCTGGATACACCAAAGTTACAGGTTCAATCCCCTGTTGGGGCACATACGAGAATCAACCAATGGGTCTAGCCGGTGTGGCTTAGTTGGTTGGAGC